GTTTTAGTTGGTTATTGTTTTTTCATTTTATTACAGTTTTTATTTATTTCAGTTAACTAAAATGTTTTTTTTTATTTCAGTTTTGGTTATTTAGTTAGTTTTAGTTAACTGTAATAACCCTGGTGTCCACCTCAGGTGTAAACTACATCAGAGTTCATTTATAAGTGGAACAAGACCACCTCACAAAGTGGGTCAGTCCAGTTGTTTGGTCCAAACCAGTTTACCTGAGTGAGTTCAGGTCCGGACCACCAGAACAAACTGATTTAAAGAGGACCAAACACAGCCCCCTGTAAAGGTCCTGAACAACAAGTCGAACTGTCTGTTTGACTTSGACTGGGTGTCAGGTCAGAAAACACTTTGTGACTTTTCTGAACTGTTGCTTGTTCTTGTTCCGATGAGGTCGTTAAACTGGAGGATTAGGTGGGATTACTGACAGGTTGGTTMATTTCTAAAGCATCATGTGAACAAAAAGCAACAATAGTCAACAAATAACTGCTGGGAYGGTTAGAAATAAAACAGAAACTCAGAAACTTACAGCAGCTGTGACATTACAGAACACAGATCTGCCTCTTTTATTTTTTATTTCTATCACAGTCTGCTGCACACTGTGCAGTGACAACAAGTAAACACAGCAACACAACACAACACAACATACGTGTGTGTAAACAACACAGCATGTAAAAAACCCAGTGGAGCATTTCTGGCTACATGTTGAAGGAACAGAGATCACAGGTGTTGATATGACAGGTTCATTCCACTCAGAGATGATTTCTGTAACAAGTTTACAGCAACAGAAATGGAACGCAGCCTTCGTTAATTTACCTGTACTTCCTTTTTTCTTTACAGTCTGCTGTGGAAACAACCGATTGGATAAGAGCTGAGGTGGGCCGGCTGTCCATCACATAATTTACACTGTGGTCAGTTTAAAACCACCGGTCATTCTGAAATAAACAGATTTACACCATGGAAGACAACCAGGGCATCAGATAAACAAACAAACAAATAAATAAATAAATAAGTCGTACAGTCAGAGGCAGAATGAGCMGATGACACAGAGCTGCAGGTTCTGAACTGATGATCATTACATGCTGACCGCTGCAGACAGCCTCAGCTCTCAGCTGCACTATCAGTGGTCACTGTGAATCATCACATGAAGSTTTGACAGAGATGAGCTGCTGACACAAACAACAGAGTGAAATGAGCGAACAGGACAGGATCTCACTGTTCTGGTCAGACGACAGAAAATAATTAAATTAAACTGGACCATCAGATACGACTGACACTTATATGGCTTCTGGAAACAATCATATCGCAGCCAAATTTGTACTGATATGAAAACCTAACATCCCTCTGTTCTTTAGTAGGGCAGACCGGGGACGGTTGCAACAAGTCATTTTTCTCCAAACAAACAGAGTGATGACCCTCACACTGTACATGCTC